TGGGAACTGGATCAAATTGCCTGAGGACACTTGGGCAACCTAGGCTTGAGAAAGAAGAGTAAGGTGAAAAGGCTGGGCCTCCCTAAGCAGGGCAGGAGGAGGTAGCCCTCTACAAGGAGAGTTGTGGAGTTGTGGGCAGGGGAGCTGGAGCCTGCAGCAGGAAAGACTGAGGAACTGAGACAGGCCTGGAGGGGAGCATTGAGGAGTCTGACGCTGAAGGTTGGTGAGTCAGCATTAGCCAGGATGTCCCCCTGGGCCCATCCTTGGCTTTGTCCAGGGCACTCTTGCTCTTTATGGGTTGGATAGATACCCAGCAGGTCTGTTTTTCCAATTTACCACTGATAACAGCAATCAAGGATTTGCAGCTGATGGACTCAAAGCAGGGTCAAATCCAGAAATATTACAGTAGATAGAACAGGGGACTGAAACAGGACAAGTAGTAAGACCAAACCAGTGAGGAAGCTTGGTTTGGTCTTACGTTAGTTCAGGGGTTGTGATTATCAGCATAGGCCAGCAGTAACAGGGCTGCTGAAAATTTACATGGGCTACTCAGGTGGTTTAGCAAGGGCGGGAATAGCTCCATTGTTTGTTTTGAGATGGGGTCTTGCTCTCTTGCCCAGGCTGGAGTACAGTGGTACAGTCCTAGCTCACTGCAGCCTCAAATCCTGGGTTCATACAGTCCTCGCACTTCAGCCTCCCAAGTAGCTGGGACTGCAGGGCTCACACTACCAAGTCCAGCTAATTTTTTTTTTTTTTTTTGGTAGAGACAAGGTCTTGCTTTGTTGCCCGGGCTGGTCTCAAACTGCTGGACTCAAGCAATCCTCCTGCTTTGGGCTCCCAAAGTGTTGGAATTCCCAGTATGAATCACCACACACGGGTACAGCTCTACTGCTCAGATCAGGATACACCTCGTACACTCAGTTTGATTCTGGGAGTCACATAGAAAAAGAGCACCAGAGCACAAGAGGGTGAACACCTTCCTAGGGACCTGCCTTCAAGAAGGGAACACACTTGTACTGTGTGACCCAGAGCTGGGCTGGGATTCCTGCCTTGACATAATTTGAGAAATGGCCATGGAGAGGTTGGGCTTGCTTTCCCTTGGGGCCTAGGGCCTTGTCTGGACTCACCAGGGCTTCCATCTTGGAAGGAAACAGCTTTGCTGGGGAGGGCCTGGTCCTGGGGGATGAGGAGAGCTGTTCTTGGGCTCCTGACTTGCACTGGTTTCCCCTTTAGCTCCCATTGCTTTGCTATGTCTCAGCTCCTCTGTCTTCCAGTCTCTAGTATCCTTTCTCTGCCAGGTCCTAGAATGTTTTTCAAGCTCCAGGGCTGTTGCTGACTATCTGCTTTGTGCCTCCGTCCCTTTTTTCAGGGCCTCTAGGACTGCCTGGCTCTACTCTCGTTTATCCTAGAACACCAACTCAGCTGAGCTCCCAAGGATAGGCAGGAACTGAGTCTTATCTGGCATTCCATAAAGCTGGGCACTTTGGATATTCCTTATAGAAATATTTTTGGTGTTTAAGGTCAGAGCTGGGCTGAGGGTAGCACCCATGAAAGGCAGGATCTAAGGGTCCTGGGGCTGACTTCTCTCCCATGACCACTTCTAGGACCGAGAGGAACGGAAGCTGCTGCTGGACCCTAGCAGCCCCCCTACCAAAGCTCTCAATGGAGCCGAGCCCAACTACCACAGCCTGCCTTCCGCTCGCACTGATGAGCAGGCCCTACTCTCTTCCATCCTTGCCAAGACAGCCAGGTAAATGTCAGAGGACCAGGCCTGGGTCAGAGCTCCTCTATCCATATTAAAGGCCAGGATAGAAGGAGCGAGGCTCAGGACATGGGGGATGGGATAAGGTCACTGGAGAGAGGTGCCTCCATGTCCAGCCCTGCTTCAGTAGGCAGGAGGGAAACTGGAGTCAGATAACCCTGGAGTTGGTACCTGGCACTGAGTCCTGTTTGTCCTTCTCAAAAGCACCTGTCATGTCATCTCTGTCTCTTCTCCCCAAAGCAACATCATTGATGTATCTGCTGCAGACTCACAGGGCATGGAGCAGCATGAGTACATGGATCGTGCCAGGCAGTACAGGTGAGCACCTGGCCAGCGTGGGTCCCTCAGGCTACTTGGGCTCCTACCCTCCATCACTGTTCCAGCTTCGGAGCCTGGCCCCTAGTCCAAGCTTCTCATTTGGTGCAGCCCTGGAGACTGACCACAGATCACTTGGGTGCTTCAGTAAATATTCATGTCAGCCCTGTTTACCCTGTGACACTCTCAAGGGCATTGAGGCCAAGGGAGGTGGGCCTAGAGTGAGTCTGTGATGAGCTGAGACCTTCCCTCCCAGATACCCCCCTCAGCACCCTGCTTCTCTGGCCTGAGGGGATGAGGCTTACCTGGGCTGGGCAGGGCAGACTGTGGCTTAACTGTGTACTCCCACCCCCTCTCTCGGTCAGCACCCGCTTGGCTGTGCTGAGCAGCAGCCTGACCCATTGGAAGAAGCTGCCACCGCTGCCGTCTCTTACCAGCCAGCCCCACCAAGTGCTGGCCAGTGAGCCCATCCCGTTCTCTGATTTGCAGCAGGTGAGACACCCCTTGCCTGCCCCTGCCCACCCTTCCCACACTGCCCAGGGTATGGCAGAGGGTTCACCCACTCTGCCTCAGAGGAGGTAGGGAAGATGGAGTTAGGGAGCCTGGTAGCCTTGTGGGCCCCAGTTCCCTCTCACCTCGTTCTCTTAACGTATGTCTTTCCTATCTCCTTCCCGCAACCTTTATTGTTTCACTCCCCTTTGTTCTTTTCCTTCTGTCTCTCCCATCCCTGTCTTTCTCTCTGCCTTCCTGTTCCCCATCATTCCCTCCTTCTCCTTCATCACCATCTAATCTCCCCTCCCTCTTTTTCCTGATCGGCCTCCTCACCTGTCTCTGTTCCTCTCCTCCCCGGTCCCTCTCTGTCTTAGGTCTCCAGGATAGCTGCATATGCCTACAGTGCACTTTCTCAGATCCGTGTGGACGCAAAAGAGGAGCTGGTTGTACAGTTTGGGATCCCATGAAGAGAGGGGTCCTTGGACAGCTCTTCTCCTCTCTTCATCCCATCTCTACCCCACCCCCTTGGCCCCCAGCCTCACTGCGGCTTATATAGTACCCTAACCTGCTACTAATCACAGAGAAAAATGTGAAGAAGGAGGAGAAGAGGAAGGCTGGAAGCCTGAGCAAGTTGAGGGTAGAATCTTTTGGGACTGGCCTTTGAAGCTCTGGCCAGGGATGGGGTGGGGGCCAAAAGGACAGAGCCTGGTATGTCGTCATAGTCATTGAGAATGTGGAGATACCAGTTTGGGTGGGGGGTGATCACCAGGGGACCTAGGGAGATCCCCTTCCCACCCTCTCTCGGCCTCAAAGTCACTCCTGCCCCCTCTCCCTGACTTGGTGCTCACATGCACCTCACGAGGGTTTGTGACCAGGGTCTGGATGAGCTTGAATTTGAATGAATTGAGTTTGTATTTCTAGAACCCTGGGTTTTTACATGTTTGGTCTTTTTTTTGTTTTGGTTTGTCACCCTCGATAAAGGAAGTATATTCATCCGTGTGCTGGTTCTAGCCCCTCTGTCCTATCCATTCTACTTTTGACTACTCAGGTCTATGAGAGTAAGATGGGGGGCAGGGGGCATCTTGCAGAGGCACTGAAGATGAATCCAGGAGATAAGGGTTTAGGGTGTCAGCTCCTAGCTGAGACCTGGCTTGGGCTAACCTCAGATTGGATGAGACTGTTCTTGTCCCTTGTCCAGTGATGATGGGAACACTGTCAAAGCTGAACAGACCTGAATCTGAAGCAGCTTTGATTCTTGGGGGCCCTGCCTCAGACTCAGTGGAATTACCAGCAGCCCCTGGGGGTGAAGGGAGACACCGCAGGTCGACGGGTGGAGAGTGAAAGCAGACCAGACTCTTCTGGGAATACGTAATATGGAGTCAGCAAGCAAATGTTTTTAAGCAGAAGATTCTTTTTATCAAATGAAATCCTAAGCAGAATCCCAGCATATAAAACATAGAATGGAATTAACTTTGATCTGATTGAAGTGGGGGCTGGTTTCAGAGATCATAGCCCATCTTCTTGGCCTGTCATGGAGGCCTGTGAGGCATCTCTACAGACCCTGGTACTCTCAAGAGTTTGGAAATTACTGATCTACTTTAACCCCCAAATCTCTAAGCTGAGAAGTACAAAGGGGCCCAGAAAGTTAGATAAATTTCCCAAGGCTATGTGGTAAACCCAGGTCTCCAGTCCCAGACCAGCAGGCCTGTCCCTCAATTGCCTCCCTTTTTCAGCAAAATAAGACTAGAGCTGGCCAGGTATAGTGGCTTATACCCGTAATCTAGCACTTTGGGAAGCTGAGGTGGGCGGATCACCTGAGGTCAGGAGTTCGAGACCAGCCTGGCCAATATGGCAAAACCCCATCTCTACTAAAAATACAAAAAAAGGCCAGGGGTGGTGGCTTACACTTGTAATCCCAGCACTTTGAGAGGCTGAAGTGGGTGGATCACCTGAGGTCAGGAGTTCGAGACAAGCCTGGCCAACATGGCGAAATCTTGTCTCTACTAAAATGTAAAAAATTAGCTGGGTGTGGTAGCAGGCGCCTGTAATCCCAGCTACTCAGGAGGCTGAGGCAGGAGAATTGCTTGAACCTGGGAGGTGGAGGTTGCAGCGAGCTGAGATCGTAC